GATGGCCTGAACCACACTACATGAACTCTAAGGATCTCCGTTGAATCGTCATGCTATTGACGCCACGCTTTTATTGTCTACCTCGACAATAGCAATAGCTCTAAAAGGGAGTACGTACGATAAGAGGGCATCATAGTGTGATATAGTGTGTTTGTTGACTTATGAATAGGATTCATTCATTTAAATAGCTAACTATAATATATTCAATCAACATTATCATTTCAATCACTAAATATGTCTATTTATAAAAGTTTTCGCAGCTCATTCAGGTACAAGAAATTGTGCACAAATAAAAGAATATTCAGGTACAACGAAAAAAAATCGAATAGAGAAACTCTCGAACATTTGGTAGATTCAAATGTGTCACCAGTGGTAACTCACTATTTCAATGAATCACTATTTTGTAAGATTATTTAAACTATAATTTTATTCATAAATGATGTGTTAGGTAACTAACAAATCATATACAGTTATACACTATAAATATATGATTGAAAAATTATGAGCATGATTGGATACAAAAATTTCTCAAAAAAATCCAAACATTTTTAACTCAACCTCTTTTTTAACTCAACTTTAACTCAACCTACTATCATTAATATTATCAATATAATTAAATAATATCAATCAATCATTCTTACACACAACATCAACCTTAATTCACTATTCATCTACTCACATAAATTTAACTAACTATCACATCACATTTTCTCTCTCTTACTTTTACATCAATTTAATTTTAATTATTTTATTTTAAATATTATTTTATTATATCCACTAACAACTAATCATACCTACTTTTTCAAATTTAACCAACCCAAATCAAAACAAAAACAAATTTATATCCAAACATGCTCTATAAAATCTGAACACACAGGCTGATGGGCACAATTTAATATGTTGATGGTGAATAGCATGGGTGAATTTACATGTATTCATACGGGCAATTGTCCCACTCAAATTTTAATTTATTTTACAAATTAATATTAACAATTTTAATTTACCCCCTTTAAATTTATTTTTGCACCCGCATATTTGTACTCCCAGATTTTTTGTTTTTAAACGTCACTCACAGGGCCAACTTATCTAATTATCAATTAACAATTTAACACTTCTTTTATTTACTATTAATTTTGTATATTAAAATATAATCATTCTACAATTTTAGTTGGCCCATATAAAAGACTTCAACTCTCTTTTATTGCTCATACTAGGGTTGGTATTTTTTGACTGAAAACCGAATCGAACCGAACAGATGAGAAAATAAATCAAACTGAACCAATTTATGTGTAACGGTAACCGAGAATCGGTTATCGATTCGGTATTTGTTCTGTACCCATTTTAAATTATGTTATGTCTTTTGTCCCTCTCAACTGGTATTTTAAATTATGTTATGTCTTTTGTTTCTCTCAACTAATTTTCTGGTTTGGCCTTGTAAATAGAGAGTATTTTCTACCTAAAAGCTTTTAAATTGCCAAATTTTAGAAAAACAAAAAATGAAAAAAAAAGGAGTCTTCTCAACTAAAGAATTCAGGGGAGTCGATGTCAATTAATCAATGAACTAAAAATCCCTTTACACAAAAAATTGAAGGGGGGTTGGAACTAAACATATCTGAAGATACAGGCCCCAAATTAGAAGGCAACAGAACCAAATCCAAAAAAAAAAAAAAAAA